GTATTATATAATATTAACTAATTAATTTTTTAATTTATATTATGATTAAAAACAAATGAAGTAAAAGCAAACAAAAAAAGAAAAAGCAAAGGCGTGCAGGTGAAGTGCCACGCAAGCCGATGACAAACGGCGTCAGGAAGCCAGTTAGCGGAAGGGCTGATTTGCACCCATCGTGGGGTTGGAGGGCTTATTTGCCACTTTTTTAGTTCAGGGGCTTATCACTTGCTGTCTAAAAAGTTGAGGGGCTTAAGATGGGTTTTTGCCATTAAAAAATACTGAAATATAAACAGAAAACGCGAGTTTGTCTCCTTACCCATTACCCTACCTTTCAGGATTTGAAATTCCAAATACAAATTTCCCTCTTCCTCGAGCTCTGATCTCAGGAATGGCACTGAGGATCGTCTGCGGCGTGGTGTTCCTCTCCGTTTCCTGCGCCTGCTTCATGTTCCTCCTCCTCATTCTCCACCCGATCTTCTACTTCACCTCATGATCCGTGCTGCTCAAATCGGCTTGGTTTTCCGATTCTTAATTTCGATTTTTCAATACCTTCTGTTATAATTGGTTGAAACCGCAAAGGAAAGGGAAAGGTTTTTTTTTTCTTTTTTTTTTTTCCTTTGTTGCCGTGTAATTCCAGACTCTTTCTTGTTTATTTTTTTATTTGGTTGTCTGTTTTGAGCAAGGATGGCAATTTTCTCCGCGACCGCGGAGTTTCACGGAGATACTCGCCACGGGGATGGAGATTCTCAAAATATTCCTACCCGTGAGGCGGGGATGGAGGTAATTTTTTACCCGTGAAATTTCGCAGGAAATTTTCTCCATTCCGTGAGGAACCGTGGGGATCCATATAAAATAAAAAAAATATAAATTTATTTATATATATATTTTTTGTAAATATATTAACAATTAATTTTTACTTACCCAACCTAATTAGCTAACTCAATACCAAAGATAACTTAAATTTCACAATCCATTCTATTTTCAAATTTTCCAAACCCAATTCTCACTTCTTTAGCCTAACCCAATTCTTTTTTGTAAATCTAATATTCCTATTTCCTAAACTTAATTGCCTAAATTCACAATTTACAGCCCAATTTACCTATAACCTAGTTGCCTAGCAGAAAGACATTTTACTTTCAGCCCCTTTTTTGTTTGCTGCTTCTTGCAAATTCTGAATTAGGGATTTCCCATTCCTCTCTTGCGAGTCTCGCCTCTCGGTCGACTTTCCTCTGATCCTCTCCTCTAATCCTCTACCACAGTGCCACACTCTTCACTCACGGTCACGGACAGACGGACTCACGGTGTAATTTGCAGCCACTTTATCTTGAAATTTTGATGCCAACACTAATTGAAAAGTGGCAGCAGCTTTCAAATGCAGATAAAGATCTTTTTCCGCTTCTTGAGTGCTTTACATCCATAGCGCAGGTCTGTACCATTCTTTTATTCTAAATTTCTGATTGTAGTTCTTTATATCTTCATTTTGCTTTTTGGTTGGAGTTTTGCATTAATGTAAAATATGTTTTGCAGGGGAAAAAAGGGTTCTCAACTCTGAACTTTGGCATGCATGTGCGGGACCTCTTGTTTCTCTACCTCCTGTTGGAACTTGGAAGGAGGGTTGTTTATTTCCCACAGGGTCATAGTGAACAGGTTAGTTTTTTTCGGAATTTGAGGTTAGCTAGTTTGGTAAATAATTGATTTTGAAGCACATTTTGTTTATTGCACATGGTATGTGTATCAACTTGCGCTTGCTACATGAAGAATGAATTTTGAATATCTTTTCATTTTCTATGGTGATGAATTTTAATTTAAAATATATATAACTACAATTTCTCTTTCGCCTGTTAATAATGCAGATAATATAAAGAACAACCGAAGAATGTCTCTTTTTAGTATCCAATGCCATATTGCCTTATTAAAATTTTAAAAATAATTAACTCGGGCAACGTTGGATTGTGCTACCTTAATTGATACTTACTCGGATCTCTGACTGAGATGAGTTTGTCCTTTGCGTTGCCCTTCTCATTGTTCATTTATTATATTTACTATTGGTTTTTCTGAAATTTTATGATTGAGCCAGATGGTAACATACTGACATAACTAACAGCTAGGAAGTTAATACAAAAAAGGGGTTTTATGGAACCTGAAAGATAAAGCAGTGAAATAGGTGATAGTTTTATTTGGTGGCTGGTGGGGACTCCGAATACCCGCGGGGACCTATTATTCCCCGTGGGGATGGGGACGGAGGCAATTTTTTACCCTCCGCCAAAAATCCCCGTGGGGATCCCCGTACCCGCCATTGACGGGGATGGGGATGGGGAGGGGGTCCCCGCCCCCGTGGGGACCCGTTGCCATCCTTAGTTTTGAGATGCCGATTTGTGATTGCTGTTTGTTTTGGTAGTTTCCACGTGGATTCAATTTTAAAATCAATTCCCGGTATTATCTCAATTTTGAGTTTTTGGTTCATCAAGAAATTTGTATGAGCAAACTTTGAAACGCGATTGTCAATGTGTAATGAAAATGATCCAGTTATCTTCTGATTTTCCAAGTTTGAGAGTATACTATAGAGATTTAATAGTCACAGTCAAAAGATTTGGGGTCGAATTGAACCATACTGGAAATCTGAAGGATTACTCATTTCAATTATGTAATTTCATTCCGATTTCTTAAGCTAAAATCGTACCAAGGGAGTGTATCAAGTGGTTAATTTAGACAAGTGGGAGCAATGTGGTGAGATTTCTTTATATTCTTTTTTACATTCTTTTATATTCAGCTTCTTTTTAATTTAAACGAGATGTCATATCTGCATTTATTTATGCAACTTTGGACATGGGAGTAACTGCTTGAGCCCTTCCTCGGTTTCCTTTTTATTTTATTTATTTATACAGACAAATCCATGGCAGGCTCTTCAAATCTGTTAAATGCTGCTGCAGACATATTGACATAGCATGCCAAGAATCCCAAGATTAGAGTTCTAAGGATTAACTTGCCGTCCAAGTGCTTTATTTTACACAAATTTCTTAGAAAAGAGAAGTTCCAAGTTCAAATTTGAGCTGTTACTCCTAATACAAGTAGCCAATTGGTCACAAGGTTGCTCATATTTACAGAATTTGTATGTCACTATTGTTCAAGCTCTCACTAACACCGGGCTGTGTCTACTGTTCTTCTTACGCATTTTGTTGACTTGCTAACTTTTGCAGGTGATGAGCGGTACTGTTGGGCAACCACTGCAAAGATTAGTGCAAAGGTAAAAAGAACTCATAACATTATAATGTGTAAACTGACTACTGAAAATTAGTTGCTGATATGATTGATTTGTGGATTCTAGGAGGGTGATGCTTCACATAGGTTTACCTAGATGCATGTACAACAGACGTGGTTGGAAGGATTGGAAATGAAAGACCAGTCAACCTGACTGTTCTAGATCGAAGCTATGCCTAACCTCTTGGCTTCAGAGTATTCAGTATTCTATTGAAATAAATGTATTAATGATATTAATCTTTTATATTTCTTATATTTCAAACAACTACAGGAAATTCAGAGATCATTCCTTTTGTGGATGCTTATAATCAAATAAATGTATTGATGATAATAACTCAAGCTTGAGTCTGGATCATGAAGATTTAGGATTACCAGAGTGATTTAGGATCATGAAGACTTTTAGTCAGCTGAATAACTTTCACTATTGAATTATCAAGATTACAAATTCTCTCCAGGCATCAATAAATTGTCAGAAATAAGTTCTTGGATCACCATTATGGTAATTAGCAAATCATTCATTTTTGGAATGATCCCCAAAACTAGCCACTAACCCTTACTTTAAAGCTCCAATGACTTGATACATTTGAAGTCCAAGCTCCACAACCCAGTAGTTTTTTTCCCTGCTTGACTTCATGCCAGCCGTTCAGTTCAATTACGCATCCATGAAGAGTGTTTTTCGCTCAACATCCGTATGATATGGACAGATATGCAACAGACTGATCCTGGAGGAAGAAGAAAAGCAATTAAAATGACAGTTTTAATTAATCTAATAAGTCCATCTATAACTAATAACTTAAGTCCATCTGCTTGTCTTCATTTTTGGAATGATCCCCAAAAGCAACCACTAACCAGTAACTTTTTCCCCAGCTTGTCTTCATAGACTACCCTTTCAGTTCAAGTATGGATCCATGAAGAGTGTTTTTCTCAACACTGAAGTGATGGACAGATACGCAATAGACTGATCCTGAACGAAGGGGGCAAGAAAGTAAAATGGCAGTTCTAAATAGTCCACTAAGTACCTCTATAGCTAATAACTTGAATTTAAATTTTTAAAATTTGCACAATAAAGGATTAATGATTTGACATAACGCTACCTCAAAGCAGTACTCCATCCATCCATCTTCATACATATCCTCGAATTGTGCTTGATATGGCTAGAGAAATTACCAGAAAAACTCCAAGAAAATCCATGTCCTACAAAAGTGAATCAAAGCTTAGCATTTTCTTGATGAAACGATACAAAATCTCTCCAACAACAGCGCGGATGAGAAGGTGAAGCACGGTAGGGAAATTGAAGTGCCATAAAAAGAGGGATGCAGCACCTTCTTGCATTACCAGAGAGGGCATTGTTTGGAGGGTAGAAGTTTGTTGCTGCAACCATGATGGACTTATTCATCGAGACATCTGATCTTGAAGCATACTCTGCAAATCAGTTCATTGTTAAGAAAACTAGAATGAAAAAGGAATAGAGTAGTTGTATCATTGCATATTGTAAGAATAGATGAATTCAAGTGCATTGCTTAAAAAATGTGAATGATAGAGATATTGGGAGTGAGATGAGTTTTAAAGATTTTCTATAGTCACAAGCTCCACCTTATTGTAGAGAGAAACATTTGATAATTGAGATTTAAGAATGAAATAAAAGAGAAGATAACGGAAACTTGTTCATTGTTGATTTCTTACCAATTATAAACGAGAAGAATCTCGATCCTCCATGGACATTAGGCCATCCCCCTTCATTTTGTTGCACTCTCCTGATATGGTAAGTGAAATTTATAAGAGAACACCGATAAAATCCATTTCTTGCAATATGCAAATGCAAAGTAAAAGCTTAATTAGCCTTATTAAGATGAAGTAATACTACAGAATATCCTCATAATTAAATGGTTCTCTTGTTATTCAGATGGACTTATTATCCAAAAAAAATTAAAGCAGAATAGAACAATGTGGTAGTAACATTGAGCATAGTTGCATCTGTAAACATTCATGAAATTAAAGAAAGTAAAAACTCTACCTGAAGTAATAAAGCCTGTAGGATTTTGATGAGTTTGTTCGAGATTTGAGTCAAGTAATTAAGAAATGGTTGCAGTGCTATCCTATGGGAATACCTGCACAGAATATATAATATATATAAGATAAGAAAAGGCAGTTGACCCAGGGCACCTTCTTGTGGTTAATAATAAATAGTAAATCAAAATTTTTCGATGAAAAGCTTAACAGAAAACATGATACCCAGTTTCAGCGTCATAGCAGTAGGTTTTATTACCTTTGCAAGATCTATCGCAACAAAGGGGATGGTATGGGTGAGGGGCCAGTGGTCTCCTTCCGCCTCAAAGCGCTGTCGTTTTAGCAGCGGACAGGTGGAGATCTGGAGTGTTCCAAGAGAGGGAGGCAAGCCTTCCTTTGGCAAGGATCGTAGCTTCGGGCAGTTCAATATTCCCAGACTTAGAAGAGAGTTCAGGTTTTGGAGGAGCTCTCTGGGTATTGATTCCAGATTTTCACCATCTTTGATCCAAAGAGTGGTTAAAGAAGAAGGCAGCACAATATCCGGCGGCCATGTCCGACAACTAATTGCCAACCACTGAAGAGAGGTAAGGTTGTGGAGGCCGCATCCCGCCACCGTTGCCAAATGCCCATCTGGAACTGGATTGGATAGTTTTTGAGTCGTATTTGGTAGTAGGAACTTGAGAATTGCATCGTCTAACTGAACATTTGTTAAGTTTGGGGGTAAATCTAAAAGTAAACCTCCATTCTCATTCCCACCTGGAGACGGAATCAACTCTATGTTTGGACAATGCTCTATGTATAGCTCCTGAAGCGATTTCAACTGGGACATCGTAGTATTTGGGAAGGACTTGAGATTCTTACAATACCTTATTTCCAATACCTTGAGATGGGGGATGCATAAGCCCAGATTTGGGATGGACTCTAAAGCGTGACAAGAGCCAATGTGTAATCCAATGAGATTGCTGAGGCAATCAAGGCTGGGTAAGCCTTTCAACCTTTGACAATTCCAAATTCCAATGGATCTAAGTCCTGTACATTGATGCAGCATTCCCTTTGAAATAGATTCCAACCCCTCGCAACCCTGAACTTCAAATTCCTTGAGAGAAGCTGGCAGCTGACCCCTCTGAAAAGAATTTAAATGTGGAAATTCCCCTATATATAAATATTCAAGATTGCTGTTGTTGTCACCATCATCTTGCATCAGTATTCCATCCGGTAGAGACTCAAGATTTTCACATCTTTCTATTGTCAACCGCTTAACTGTGATGGGCACGGATAATGACCTGAGAGAAGGACAACCATAAAGTTCTAACTCTTCAAGTCTCAACAAGTCGGTGCTATTACTGTTGCTTCCGCCCATCTTCCTCATCATCAGATCAGGTAATAATGACTCCAATGCCTCACAACTAGAGAGGGCAAGATGTTTAAGACTCAATGGCAAGAGGCCTTGTTCTTTCCCTGTCAACGACATAAGCAAAGGACAACTCCTAATTTCCATTTTCTCAAGGCGAGCAAGGTTTATTGTTTCTGATCCATCCTCCCACAAACAAGTAAGTTCTTTGCACCCTTCAATTTCAAGATTCTCAAGAGCTGTTAAGAACTGTGTAAAACACATAGGCAAGCAAGACATCTCTGAAATATTCTCAATTCTCAATCGAGTGAGAGAGGTGAGATCAATCATGCTCTTCAAAAGAATAACATTGCAGTCTCCAATATGAAGATTTCTAAGTGACACAAGACTTGTGGTAGATGAGCATCTTAACTCTGGGCATCCATTTATCACAAGATTCACCAGAGAAGAAAGTTGGCTGGTTAATTGTCCTGTCAACTTGGGACAATTTTTAATCTCAAGATTCACCAGAGAAGAAAGTTGGCTGGGTAATTGTCCTGTCAACTTGGGACAATTTTTAATCTCAAGATTCACCAGACAAGGAAATTCACCTCCACTTCCAGTTGGAGAAGTCCATTCCTTCCAATTTAACATGTTTTGAAAAACCAACTTCCCCAATGATGAGAAAGTTCCATTCCCATAAAACTCTGGACCCACTGTTTCTATTCCCTCCATGCCTTCTATAATCAATTCTTTCAGAACAGGTGATCGCCCAGGTGACGGCAACAAAGGGCATCTCTTGCAATCTCTAAGATTCAAATATGATAAATTAGAAAAAATTGGATCCCCAATCCAGGAAGGGAATTCTTGGCCACCATAGGAAACAATTGTGAGACTTTTCAAATTTGAATGAGGTTTTAACCATTTGAGAACCTGCATTTCTTCATTGGTTTTATTCCTCATATTACCAGAATCAGAAGTCCACTCCAAATGCAACTCATCAAGACCATCAATATTCTTTAGATCAGCCTCCATAGCATCTTGAACATTCAAAACATTCTCTAGATTCAGAATAGACAGTTTTCCTTTAAGTTGTGAGAAGTTTTTCAAGTTAGATAATTTCATCAATCTATTTTCCTTCCCTACAATCAATTTTGACAATGTTGAGAGATTTTTGAGATTACCTATTTCTGATGGCATCTCTTTCAAGGAACTCGTACCTTCAATATCTAGATGATGGAGGTAAATTAAGTTCCCAACTGTCACAGGTAACTTCAAAAACTTGCAGCAGTTAAAGAGCAACAGTGTCTGTAATTGGAGGAGGAAACCCACAGACTCAGGTAGGCTTTCAATTAGAGTGTCTGACAAATTAAGGTACTTCAAATGTATTAAATCTCCGATTGAATCTGGTAACTTATTTATCAGATAACCCTCAAGAGACAGTGCTCTCAAGCATCTTAATTTTGGCAGCCAATCATGCACCACTACATTTGATATATGACACCACCCCCTTGAGCCAACTGGAATGAATGTTCGCAAACACTTCATGGCATTCAAGACATCAAATTTCTTAGAGGTGTCATTGTAACCACAGATGCAAGACAAATGACGAACCTTTTCATAATTCACTTTTGATTTTTTATCAACCTCAAACTTATGTTCAAGAATGAAGCACGATTCTCCAGCAACAAATTGAGCCAAATCATGTATGAGATCATGCATCACAAACCGTGACTCATTCCCACTAGATCGCTGCAAAAAGGCTTTTGAAACTAACCCGTAGAAATACTGATGACCAACTTCTACCGATTGTTGTTTTAAGACCCCACTTGCCATCCACAACAAAACAAGCTGGTTCTTCTCAAACTCATGGTCTTTAGGAAACAATGCACAATAGACAAAACATGGCTTCAAATAAGAAGGAAGATAATGATAACTCAATCTTAAAGCTGGAAGAATGTCACTTTCTTGCAGCTTCCATATTTCACTATTTAAAATGTCTTCCCACTCAGAACGGTTTAACTTACCACATAGGAGGCCCCCAAGGGTTTTTGCAGCCAATGGCAATCCTTTGCACCTTTTTACAATTTTTTCCCCAATTTCTTTTAAATCTAGGTGTTTATCAAAATTGTATGTTCCCAATGCACGTTTAGCAAACACTGACAAGCACTCTTCATCCTTCATTACTTCTAGACTGCAAGCTTTATCCACTCCTCCCATCATTTCTACAACACGCTCATTGCGAGTTGTGATGATTATTTTACTTCCAGCTGCTCCTGATAAGAATGGTTTTTGTAGGTCGTCCCACCGAGAGGGGTTCTCATTCCAAATGTCATCCAATACAAGCAGAAACTTCTTGCTAGACAACTTGCTGCTCAATTCTTGTTGAAGTGAATCTAAATTATTAAAATCACACCTTCCCCCAACTTGCTCTAGAATGGCTTTTGTTATGCTTGTAATATCAAACTGATCAGAGACACAAACCCATGATTTAAGCTCAAAGTTTTCTGGTGTCGTCACCTCGTTGTAAACAAGTCGAGCTAAAGTGGTCTTGCCAATGCCTCCCATTCCAAGGATGGGAATAACACTAAATCCTTTGGAACCACCTTCATCATTGAGCAACTTGTCAAGAATAGCTGCTTTTTCAGTTTGTCGACCACAAACATAAAGTTCAGGAAGAGAAGTAGTGGGTGACCTTCCTGTAGCCATTCTACTAGGCTTATCTCCAACTTGACTTACTAAGCCAAGTAACTTCGATTCATCTACCAAGCTTTGCAACTTGAGGGTGATGCCATCCACCTTAGAAATGGTACGGGGATTAGAGATCAACAAATCACTCTGTTTGAAACAGTTGAAGCATGAGGGGATGAATTTGCTACTGCTGGCTTGGTGAGGTTTTGAAATATTCAAACTGCTTCTCTGAGAATCAACTTGAAATTCATCTAAGATGTCCTCTATATCATAAGCCAAGTCCCTAATTTCAGCGACCCATATCTTTATCAACTCGCTGGAATTAGACATCTGCTTTTCTTCTGCATCTTCAAGAAGGGCAAAGATTTTCGGCAATAAGCTCTCCCAGTTTTGCAACTTATTAAGAACCTGCTTCTGCAAATTGAGTGATCTGCTGAACTTCAACTTCTTAAACAGCTCCTCAAAAGCAACAGTTAAGAAAGCACCTCCAGCAATAGATAAGAATTCCATTGAATGATCAGGTCTTCTGTAAATTTAGGGTTAGTTAAGGTACGTTTAGTATACATGGTAATTCAACAACGAAAAATAAAAAATGAAAAATATTAATAAATTATTAATATGTGGCATTAGTTACTAAAAGTAAAACAATGAAAGCAAAAACAAAAACAATTATATTAAATGGATCCTTAGTTCTTAAGGGATTTGGTGGCACAAAGCATTAATCGTTCACTAATTGCTTACTCTGTAACTTTATTTTTTATTTATTTTTTTTTTGTTAACATTATTTTAGTTAATATGGTAAACATATTTTCAACCTAAAAGAATAAAGATTTGTAAAATACTTAAAAAGTAGAACTAGGAACACTTGGATTTTCAATATATTTTTCAGATCTAAAAACATAAAATAATAGTAATAAAAAAAAAAAAAAACAAATATAGGATTAAGAAGCATTTAATGTTACATACCTTAACTTGCTTCCTAGCTTTGATTTTTTTTTTTTTTTTAAATGTATCCATTAATATCCATTCATATACTGCTCATACCATTTTTTTTTTTTTTTTAAATGCTCAGAGTTGAAAGTGGACACAAATTTGCTGCCTGCTGGAAGTGGCTGGTAATTAAACTCTGAGAAGAAACAGAGAAAGAGTAAGTAAATTTTAAGACGAAGAAACTGAACCTAAGAAAATGAATTAAAAACAAGAGATGGAAGAGATGAGGAGCATACCTTTTGCCTTAAGGCTGAAACTTGAGCACTGGAAAGGAAGGACACAGAAACATGGAGCAGAGGAGAGGGTGATATGAGATGAATGGAAAAACGAAAGGAAATCGTCTCTTAATTTGTTAGGCTATTCCTTTCAAAACGGGCAGAGCATTGGATGCTTTTGCTTTTTGACGAAGACCCATTAGTGGCTCCAATTATTGATCCTGGAAAAAGGAATACTCTGACTTCTCAGTCTTTTCCTCTTTCCTTACATTTATTTTCTTCGTTTCCCACCAATGACATGAAATTGTCTTTCTTTGCAGGGCCCACCATGGTTTTATTTAAAGGATCCACTTGCAGGGGAAGTGTGAAGTTTAGTGGAAATTGACTGATTAAAGTATTACACGCCAAAGACCTTTGGAGGCCCAAATAATTTGCAGGAAAGCAAAAACATTAGTTTAAAGCATCTCTTGCTTTTCTAAAAGAAAAACTGAGCCAGAAATGAATCCAATTAGCATCTTAGCATCTTTAGCTTTTCAAGGCAAGTTTTTGTTTGGTAGATGAGCAGACCTTTTTCAAATAGATTTTTCTATTCGTATAGAATAAGAATATAATAAATATATTTTTTATAATTAATTGTTTTTATAAAGATACAAAAAGTTAATTTTTAATAGTGCCATTAAGCGTGAATATTCATATATATATATATATATACATATATATCTTTCTCTTAGGCATCCCAAGCTATATACAGATTATACAGATTGATAACAGTTTATCTAATAAACTTAGCATAAATGATCTAATCTAGTATTAAAATCTAATCCCATGAAACTAATTATTAAACCCATTAACAAATTTAGGCCGAAAACCCATTAACAAATTAGGCCCTAGGTAGGTAAAGGAAACAAAGTTCAAAACATAAATCAATAGTCCAAATCCACAACCCATTCTAGGTCGGTCTACTCTTACAACTAATATGGGCCAAGGCAAACTAAGCCCATTAAAATTTTCTTCCAAAAAAAATATTGGAAAATAAGGAAAAAAAATGCTCTTTCGTGTAATCACTCTTCTTCGGGCTCTGATCTCAGAAATGGCACTGAGGATTGTCTACGGCGTGGTGTTCCTCTCCGTCTCCTGCGCCTGCTCCATCTACCTCCACCTCATCCTCCATCCGATCTTCTACATCACCTCCTGATGATCCGTGCTGCTCAAATCGGTTTGGTCCTCCGATTCTTAATTTCGATTTCTCAATACCTTCTGTTATGATTGGTTGAACCCACAAAGCAAACGGGAAGGTTTTTTCTCTCTTTTTTTGTTTCCGTGTAATTCCAGACTCTTTCTTGTTTGTCTTTTGTTAATTGTCTGTTCTGAGATGCCGATTTGTAATTACAGTTTGTTTTGGTTGTTTCCATGTAAATTCAATTTTAATGTCAATTCTCTGTATTATCTCAATTTTAAGTTTTTTGGTTCATCAAGAAATTTGTATGATCAAATTAGGAAAAATGTTTAGGATTTAGGAAAGAATGTTAGCATTAGACGCAAACACAAACGTCCCAAAGCTCTGTGGATGAGATTGTAAGTCACATCCAGTAAAGTAAATTAAATAGTAGAAGAATAATGTAAAATTAAAAAAATATATCAAAACCAAACAGTGGATATGCTACATCCCTCAACAGTGGTTTAGCATGAGAGTTTTTTTTTTTTTTCTCTAATTTATGAGCACAGGTTATTTTCATATTAATTATATTT